CACATTGGGTGGAAATGGCATCTGCAGACGGGGCCCCGGAGACTGACAAAGGGCTGTCCGCCGTTGCGCAGATCTCCCACGACCTCGTGGCCACCTGCGCTCTGCAGCAGGAGGAAATCCTTCACCTGCAGCAGACAGTGGACCAGATGTTTACACGGCTGCAGGCGTTGGAGAAACAGCCAGCTGTTGTAGCAGCCGCAGGGCCTTCCAACCTTACCACCCGCGTTCAAGTTTTGGAGGATGACGTCAGCAACATTAAGCGTGTGCATCAGGATTTCCGGACGTCGCAGCAAGCAACGAACTTGCAGTTGGAGACGCAGGTCCAGGCTGCTGCCACCGTGACGCCCGCGGCCGCATCCTCCCGGCGCCCACCCAAACTGGATGACATTCAAGTTTTCTGCGATCAGTCCAAGACGGAACCGATCCCGTGGCGGCGCCAGTTTACTCTCAGGCCCGACATGCCCCATGTCCCGAACAGCGATCGACATCCGTGCTTGTACCACCGATCTGGTGGTGCATGTCAAGCATGGCTGGACAACATCTTGACCAGCCACGGCGTAGCAGTGTCGGAACTGCACACCAAGCTCACTTGGCAGGAGTTGACTGACGCCTGGCACAAGCGATTCCAAGTGGAACCGCCCGACCTGCAAGCGATGGACAAGCTCAACAAGCTCCATCAGAACACGCTGCTCAGTCAGGACTAGATTACCGAGTTCCAAAGACTCGCCTCCATACCAGACCTGCCGCTCGCATTTCGCGGCGTCAAGCACTTGTTTATCATGCGCTCGTGTCCAGCCCTGCAAAACGTGCTGACGCAGATTGCAGAGACACTCGACACATCGCAACGCCGACCGATCTTCCGCGATGAAGAGCAACACCCTGCCCAAGCCAAAGGTGGCTTGCATTGCGGCGACTTCGCCGACTTCTTATGGCGAGGCTGCAACACCGAACGAGGGTGAAGTGTTGGCAGCTGCCCGGGATGGTGGCCGGCCGCGCAACAACCACGGCCGCGACAAGCCGAAGACTCAGTCCACCTCTTCACCGGGCACCGGATCAGCAGCCGACAAACCTTGGACACAATACGGACTCTCGGCGAATCGCTATCGCAAGTACCGTTATTGACTTTGGTGCGAGGGGAAACCCTGTTCGGGAAAGTAGGCGCCACCGAGGGTGACTCGACACCTCCCTCGACGCCATCGGAAGCGGTTGTGCGCACGACCGCCCTTTCTTCCGAGGCATATGCGGATGTCGGGAGTCTTCCACTTTCGTTCAAAGACTTCGCTGCCCGGCTCGTTCCTTCACTGGATGCTTCTCAAGGACAAGATACATGTGCGGCTTTCTCACCGTCCGAAGGTTCCTCCGCCACTTCGTCTTCATCAAGGGATTCGGCAAGCGCGTTCAACGAGGAGGCTTTGGACCCGCTCACGCCCGAGGATTTCGCTTGGGCTCCTCTCCCTACGACGGGCAACCTTCCGGGGCYGCAAAGCGCARCACTATKCGCCCTCTTACACGAGTATCTTTCCTTCCATGCACCACCAACTTCGYCGACGGTWGACGAAGTCGCGGTGGGGGACATGCTTGGCTATGTTGCCAAGGTGGGCCGCGAGTTTGTCTCGCAACGGTACGCAGAAAACAACGCACCGTTGCTGTACGTTCGCATTCAGATTGGGCAAGCGGCCTGCAACGCTTTGCTAGATTGCGGCGCAACTCGCAACTTCATCAGCCAGKCCTTCATGACTCGGGCTGGCCTTGGCGCACAAGTACGGAGGAAGTCACATCCAACGACGGTCGCTCTTGCCGACGGTAAGACGAAACAGCTCTTAGACCGTTACATCTCGGCTGTCCCGGTGTACTTTGCACTGCACGCATGTGAACCCGTCACTTTTGACGTGTTGGACACCAACTTCGATGTCATTTTGGGGATGCCTTGGCTTTCTAGCGCGGACCACACGGTCAACTTCCATCGACGCACGCTCACGATTCGTGATGCAGCTGGCGTCGAGGTCCCGTGTACTATTCCTCCTCGCTCTTCCATTCGGTGCCAAGTCGTGAGTGCCAAATCTTTTCGAGACACATGCCGTTCCGAGCATGTCGAAGAGATTGGCATCACTTTTCTTCGAACCGTCCCGACGACCGACTCATCGTCCACGGATTTGTGTTCCGACCCCCGTGTGACCCGGTTGTTAGATGAGTTCTCGGATGTTTTTGAGACACCCTCCGGTGAGTGCCGGACCCGCCAATCTCTCATGAGATCATACTTGAGGCCGGCGTCGTGCCACCAAAGGGATGCATTTATCGCATGTCCGAGGAGGAGCTCACAGTTCTCCGTGTGCAACTCGACGATCTTCTTGACAAGGGTTGGATCCGCCCTAGCAGCTCACCTTACGGTGCGCCCGCTCTTTTGGTTCGGAAGAAGAACAAGGACCTTCGACTTTGCATTGACTACCGACGCCTCAACGCGCAAACCATCAAGAACGTGGGGCCTCTACCTTGCATTGACGATTTGCTTGAGCGGTTGGGCGGCGCCAAGTACTTTTCGAAGTTGGACCTCAAGTCGGGCTACCATCAGATTTCCATCCGCCTGCAAGATTGGTACAAAACCGCGTTTAAGACGCGATATGGGCATTTTGAGTGGGTAGTTATGCCTTTTGGCCTCACCAATGCCCCGGCCACCTTTCAGGCGGCCATGACCACCGAGTTTCGCGCTATGTTGTCAGCCCGGTACAAAGCCAACCGTGACAAATGTGAGTTTGTCCGGCAAGAGTTTGAATATTTGGGCCATCTTGTATCTCCGGAAGGCATTCGTCCGTTGGCGGACAAGATTCAAGCCATCCAGGAGTGGCCCGAGCCGAAGAATGTGTCGGGCGTCCGATCCTTCATCGGCTTGGCCGGTTCTTATCAGCGGTTCATCAAGGGTTACTCGAAGATCGCAGCCAACCTAAGCAAGTTACAAAGAGAGGAGCGGCCTTTTGACTTCGACGATGATGCGCGCCATTCCTTTGAAACACTCAAAGCGACACTCTTATCCGCCGTGGTGTTACATATTTACGACCCGCTTCTAGCTACGCGCGTCACTACCGATGCGTCGRGCTATGGCATTGGGGCCGTCCTTGAGCAGCACGATGGCACGGACTGGCACCCGGTCGAGTACTTTAGCAAGAAAGTACCCCCCGTGCATTCGATTGACGACGCACGGAAGAAGGAGCTTCTTGCCTTCGTCCACGCCCCCAAGCGTTGGCGACATTTCCTCCTTGGTCGGAAAGCATTCCGATGGGTAACGGATAATAATCCGTTGGTGTTCTACTAGTCGCAAGACACGATTAACAGTACCATTGCCCGTTGGATGGCTTTCATCGACCAGTTTGACTTTTTCCTCGATCACATTCCCTGTAAATCAAACCGTTTTGTGGACGCCCTCTCACGGCGACCGGATCTTTGCACCGCAGTCTACTCTACCTTCGAGATCGACGACGACTTGCGGGAGAGCTTCATCCGCGGCTATCACGCCGACCCCCACTTTCGCGACAAGTACGCGAATTGCTCCTCTCCGAATCYGGTGCCTTCGCATTATCGGATCCAAGAGGGCTACTTGCTTGTGCATTCACKGKGTAAGGATCTTCTTTGTGTACCAAGTGATTCACACTTGCGCACACGGCTTCTTGGCRAGTTTCATGATGCGCCCGCCTCYGGACATTTTGGTGTCAACCGTACACTTGGCCGACTTCGCCAGCGTTTCTATTGGCCCAACCTTCTCAAGGATGMCACCCGCTATTGTGAGTCGTGCGAAGTCTGTCGGCGTTGCAASTCACGCAACCATTGTCCGTTCRGCGAGCTACACCCACTACCAGTTCCCCTTGGGCGACGGGAAGCGATTGCTATGGATATCACCGGCCCCTTCCCGAAGCACAAGACCGRCGTTGATGGGATCCTCACGGTCGCCGACYGCCTCACCAAGTACGCCATGTTTTTGCCTTGCCGCTATCACGCGAAGGCACCGGAGTTAGCTGAGGTCTTATACACCGGTTGGATTCGCTCCAAGGGCTACCCCAAGGAGATCGTTTGYGACCGGGACACTCGCTTTCTCTCCGACTTTTGGGTCRCCCTCGTCRAAYGATGGGGCTCATCTTTGAAGCCGAGTTCGGCTCGCCACCCGCAAACCGATGGTCAAAYGAAAAGTGCGCATCATACCGCTCAAGTCCTTCTTCGYACTCTCATCCGTCCTRACCAGGTTGATTGGGCTGAGCGCTTGCCAGACGTTGAGTTGGCTTGCAACTCATCGATCCATCCGGCTATCGGGATGTCGCCATTCGAGTTTGAGCATGGTTYACCCATCTCATCGCTGYTGGACGCCAGTTTGCCGCGCACRGCCGAGAGCGACGACCATCTTGCGTTCCTTCGTCGCATGCAAGAGCTTCTTGTCAAGCCACGGGATCAGATGTCAAAGACGCAAATACGGATGAGCCGTCAAGCCAACCGCAATCGCCTTCCTTGCCCGTTCCGCGCCGGCGATCTGGTTTGGGTCTCCGCCGCGGAGTTCAGCCTTGAGCAAGACATCTCTCGCAAGCTCCTTCCCAAATGGATGGGGCCTTGGCGCATTCTCTCTGCAGTTGGTGATGATCCCGAGGGGCCTTCATTCCGCATCGCGGTGCCACCTCACTTGCCCGTCCACACGGTGTTCCACTGTTCCAAACTCGCTCCTTTC